TCAAGACAACAAATACATACACAAAATTGGTTGAAGTCGGGGACACTTAAAAAAATTGTAATCAGCTGGAAGCTCTACCTTACTTTTTATTGTACCATGGTCATAAGAAATATTGCCAAACGCACCATATATGAAAATATCTAAAAGTGTTGAAGAGGAGGGACCTTGTTCCCTCTATTAGCGTTACTTTACGATGTAAACTTTTAAAACGCCGATATACGTCTCTCCTTTTTATCTCCACTTTAATAATCTGCTTGAATTTCCCCGTAATTGTTGAAAAAAATTGAATTTTGTTGCTCAATGTTATAGAGAAAAAACGATCTCCCTCCAATAGGGAAATATGTTTTTGCCACAGACAGATGGAGTCCTTAAGGACTTGGTTAAGAAGTTTTAACCTAAGTAACATTTCAGCCATTAGAATTCTTCATATTGAAAATTATTACATTCATTAAATAATATATTAAAAAAATTATTTCTATTCTCGAAAATATTGTCCGTTTTTTCCTCAATTATATAAAAGTACACACACACACACAAAAGATATACCACCCTAGAGACTCTACACACGAAACGCACAACGAACACACTAAATGTTACAAAACACCACCAAAATTTAGCTTTTCTCAATGTGAAAATATGTGTCTATATAAAATTTAAACAATTGTTTGCTTCATTTGTATTATCCTTAAAATTATTTATCTTTTTGAAAGGTCTGTGTTTATATTTCATTTCATTTGTTTCGTTTTTTTTGTTGCTTTAGCTTTTCTTATATTCGTATCCAACTCGTTTCGTTTTCATTTTTTGATGAATCTTTTTTACGTCTCTTCCCTCTTGAAATAAAAAAAATATCCAACTTAAAAATGCTTTTTCATATATTTATTTTCTTAAAAACCAAAAATCTAAATATTTGCTTCTCCAAATGGATTGAAATGAATGAACGAAAAAATGTAAATGTTACTCTTTTTGTGGGATATCCATCCTATCCGTTAAGCAGCCGTAATTTCAGTGGTGTACCTCGTCGCCTTTTGGATGGCAGTAATCGTCAGATTTCCTCAATTGCTGTCAATGCTGCTGCAAACTCGGCAAACAATGCCGCAGCAGCCGGCAATAATAATGTCCATTTATCTTCTTCCAACTCACCCTATGGCACATTGTCCAGCATTAAGTCGAACCATTCGTCGTCCTCATCATCGAATGGTAGTCAGAGTAGCAGTAGCAGCAGTAGCAATAATGTCATAACATTACAATGTGCTTCGGCGGTGGATACGGTTGATGGCGTTGCCACATCGTCATCATCATTGTCATTGGCCCAGCAGCAGCAACAACAACAACAACAGCAGCACCAGCAACATTTCACCCAACATTATCATCATCAGCAACAACAACAACAGCCCCAAGCGTTAGTAGGTTCACCTGCTGGTGGTGCAGGTGTTGGTTTTGGTTACAACACCGCTGCCGCCGCTGCTGCCATTACCAGTGGCAGCTGTGGTGGTGGTGGTATGCCGAACATCTTTAATACGAACAGCGGCGGCAATAGCCCACGTCTGGGCGATGCAGCTTTAAGTTCATTGGCTGCCAGCCCCACCGATGCCTGCAGTATGCGTTCAAATCCCTCGGCTGCCTCCTTAATGCAGGCTGCCGGCGAATTGACATCGTCAACTGCACCCACCACTGCCGGCATACCCGGTGGGGTTATGGGCAATAGCTCGGCCACGCTTTCGCCACTTTCCTCTGCTGGTTCGGCAACGACATCGCATCTAATACGACGTCCCAGCATTACTATGTGCGTTAATCGGTTTCATTCCATGGCTAATGTCATATATTTTGAGTTACATTTTTTCTTCTTCAGTTTTTCATTTTTCGTTTTCTCTCTAGAGTAGAAAATTTTTTCTTTATCCTTTTTTGTTTGGTGATTTGAGAGAAAAAAGTATGCGTTTTTTTCGATGTTGGTTCACTCTTTTCGGGAATAAAGCAAATCAATTTCACTGAATATACTCTCAACAATAGTTGCAAGATTTTTCTTCTACTTTCCAATAGAAATGTTATTTTCCTTATTAGTTTAGAGATGTTTTTCTTTCTTCGCATTATTTGCTAGTTACCCTGGAGCATGATATCATTGTTGGGATTTTTGTTGAGTTTTTCATTTTATATGATTTGATTTTTTTTTCTCTCTTTTTGTAGCATTTTAATGAACTGGGGTTTGAAAAATTCCAATCTGATTGTAGAATTTACAAAAAAATATTCTAAAAATCATGTTCCTTTGGAAAATATAAAAAAGAGTCCCTTAAAAACATTATTATAAAAGCTTTCAGACCGGATAGTCCTTAAAAATAATATTAAAAAAAGGCATCCTTTAAAAAGTAATATTGAAAACAAAAAAAAACTCAAAAAAATAAAATAAAATTTTTAAGAACTTCAAAGACAACCCCTTTAAGGATACCCTCTTTAATATCCTCATTTAAACCTGATAGCATCATTTAAAAAATAATACCAAAAAAACCAAAAAAAAACAAATTCTCAAAAAAAATAAATACTCAAAAAAATAAAATTTTTAAGAACTTCAAAGTCATCCCCTTTAAAGAAACCTTCTTTAATATCCTCATTTATACCCGATAGCCTTTGAAAAAATCTTTGCAAAAAAAATATTTTTATTTCTTTGCAATTTAAATACTATGTTTTTTTTGAGCATCCTTTCGTGTTTTTGTTTATGTTTTCTGAATGTCGTTGTTGTTGTTTGTTTGTTTTATAACCAAACTAACCTCTTATTTTTCTCTTCACAACTTATTTGTGTGCTGTATGTATAATGTTTGAAATTTAAAATCATATTCAATTATCAAATATGTTTTCTATATATATACTATACTGTTTGTTTGTATATATTACCCTACACTTCTCGAAATACCACACACAACACCACTTCTATCAAAACTTCATTCATTTTACAGCAAACCACAAGCACAAATATACATTAAAATCAAGGATTGAATTGGTATTGTAATCGTAGTTTTGAAATATCGTGAAATTGAAACCCCATGTATGGCAAGAAATTGTAATTTAAAAAAAATCTACCTCAGTAGTGCTATTCAAGGCCTATGTAAGATCGGCAAAGAAGACAATTTTTGACAAAAAATTAGAAGTTTTCGAACTATTGTGATCTGACTCTCTTTGAATTTTAAATCACAATTATGTCATTCGACAGCAAACTTAGTTGTCACATAACTGGCCAAAAAGCCGTTATTTTAGGGTCTATACGACGACATGGACCTGCATACACAACTTTTGTCATAAGCCATTACAATATTCAAATGCGAAACTTAAAAAAAATCGGTGAATTATGTAGCTAAAATCATTGAAATACCGAATATCGGGAGGTACCGTTATATGGGTGCTATACGAAGACGTGGACCTGCACGGACAACTTTTTGTCAAAGGCTGTAGTATCCGTTACGAATTTCAAATACCAAATTTGAAACAATTCCGGTGAATAATGTCGCTAAAATTGTGAAAACACTAAATATCGGGAGGTACCGTTATATGAGGGCCATACAAAGACGTGAAACTGCTCAGACAATTTTCTGTCATAGGCTGTAGTATCCATTACGGACTTTAAATACCAAATTCGATACAATTCTGATGAATATTGTCGCTAAAATCATCAAAATACCGAATATCGTGAGGTGGGGGCAAAACGAAGGCGAGGATCTGCACAGACAATTCTCTGTCATAGTCTGTAGTTTCCATTACGAACTTCAAATACCAAATTTGAAACAATTCAGGTGATTAATGTCGCTAAAATCATTCAAATTCCCAATATCGCGAGGCGCCGTTATTTGGGGGCTCTACGAAGACGTGGACCTGCACGGACAATGGGCTGTAGTATCCACTACGAACTTCAAATACTAAATTTGAAACAATTCCTGTGAATAATGTCGCAAAAATCTTTGAAATACCGAATATCGGGAGGTGCCATTATATGGAGCCATACCAAAACGTGGACCTACATGACCCATTTTCAATACCAAAAGTCCTGCAGACATAAAATACATTTGAGTGAAATTTTATCAACCTACTTCTATTCGTTCGGAAGCTAGAGTTATTTCCACAGACGGACCGACATCGCTAAATCGACATAGAATTTTGTGCTAATCAAGAATATATATACTTTGTGGGGTCTAAAATGTATATTTCGAGGTGTTACAAACGGAAAGACAAACTTAATATACCCTCCATACTATTGTGTAGAAGATTAAAATGCAAAAAAAGAATCAAAAATCCACTTTGGGTGCAAAGGGGTTACCTCCAATCAAGTCAAAAATCCACTTTGGGTATAAAGGTATGGCACCGATTTAGTCGGGGTTACCTCAATATTACTTTTTTGAATATATTTTGGCATATTTTAATTGAAATTGTTTCAATTATTATTCTCAAACAAATAAAATTGTATAAAAATGTGATATATTATGAAAATTCAATTATTGTTAATAATAAAATGTCCAAATTCATCCTTGATTTTATCATACACGTAAATTTTACTCTCTGTGCCTTCCATCCACACTTTCCATTACTGTCGCTTTCTCGCTCTCTTTCACTCTCTCTCTCGTTTTCTATCTCAGCAAATAGTTAAAGCTTTGAGTTTAGTTTATAAAAATTTATTTCTTCGACTATTTTACAATGAAAATTGTCCATTTGTTGTTTATTCTTATTTTTATTTATTAATTGTGTTTGGTGATTGTGTGCAATCATCTTTGTTTTACCAAAAAGAAATTGACTTTGGAAAAATTTTTACTAATTTGTTTTTTTCTCTCTTAATTTTCTTCAATTTTTATCTTCTTCCCCTACGTTGCGAATTTTGGTTACCAAAAAACAACAAAAATAACTGCTGTTGATTTCCCTCATAACGCTTTTAAATTATGCCGCTACCACCCAACAAACAACAAAAACAATTGAAACACACAAAAACAAAACTGGATCTTTAAACAACTCTGCTAAATTTGTCTTAGGAATCCCAGTTCTGGCTCCTTAGTTATAAGTGAAACTGGTTCATTGGATCGCATGAAGAATACGGTGAAAAGCAAAAAAGGTCCCCTTGATGATGGTCCACGGGTCTCCGATCGTGTGGAGGAGACCAGGGTAAATCCCAATTCATTGATTGATGAGATTTTGAAGGATACAAAATTGGATCAATTAGAGGAGTCGGCGGAAAGTAAGTCCAATGAATGCAATTAACAAATCTATAGAAAAAATTAATAATTGCTTTTTTTTCTTTTTTTCTAAGCATCCGGTCTACAATTGTTCATAGCTAAGGATGGCACCACCACATTTGGCACCCAAGAGGTCAAGTCCCGTGTCTCTGCAGGGGCATTCAAACAGGTTGTTATGGAAAATCCAAGATAGTAGCATAAATTCCATATATTTACATGCAAATATATATATTTGTTGGACACAAGACTTTTCTTTATTTGAAAACAAAACAACAACAACAAAACAAAACCAACCACAACAACTACTATTAATATTACAACAACAAAGAATACCTACTATAATAATATAAATATAAAATAATATATATGATAAACTATAAAAGAAGAGAAACAAAAAATAATACAAAACACTACTATTACAACAACAACAAAATTTGCTATAAAAGAAAATAAAATCAATCCAAAACTCAAATCAATGTTGAACAAAACCAGATGCAAAAGCAAAAAAAGGAAAACAACAGAAAATAGTAAATCAACAATTTTTTTGAAATTCAAGAGAGAAAAAAATCGTAAACGTTTTTAAAATGGGAGGTTTACAAAAAATAGAAACAGAGATGTCATTCAAAACCCAATATTACACAGTAAGAGCCCATCAGCATCCAGAGCTAGCACATGAACTGAAAGATCCCATAAAATGTCATAAGAAGCGGCCAATTAATTTCGAATATCCTTTTTTCTGTCAAAATTTTTGCTTTCGACAAAGAAATTTAGTTACAACGCTCGAAGAGCTTCCGATCTATTATAATCTGCCTGATAAAAATTTGTTTTGAAAAGACGTTTGTTGAATCGTTGTTCAGAAGAATTCAAAGTATTGTTCCCTTAAAGTAGTTAGTTTAGCCCCTTACAACAAACATGTTTGAATAATCAATGAGATTCAGAAAGGCTCTTTTTTGTAGAATTTGAAACGAAATAAATTAACAGTGAGAGCCACCAGCATCCAGAGCTAACACATAAACTGTAGGGTCCCACAGAATATAATGGAGAAGTTGGTATTTCTATCTGAATTGTTGTCAAAACTCGTGCTTAGGGGTTCAGAAGAAATTAAAATATTATTCCTATGACATAGTCAATTTAGCGCCTTAGGTTAGGCTGGGTTACAGTATGCGCAGCTAAACTAAATTCGATACCATTCTGTTCATCCTCGGAGACCATTCTGTTCATCCTAGAGGGATTAGTTATGAAAGGAATGATACAAGAAGAGATAATGCACAAAATAGTACGTTTGCGTAGATCTCAGTCGTTGATGAGACTTCAATGAATGTAGATATGCGTTGGAGATGCATGCATTGTTGTTCCGTTCACATTAAGAAAACAAATGATAGAGAGCTTTTGTAGACAAATATGAATATATTGGGCTTATATCTAATGTTTTATTATCCCACAACACTATGTGTTGGAGGTATTATAAGTTTGATTGTCCCAAAAATTATGTAACACCTCGAAATAATGGCCCCGGACATACGAAACTATATATGGATCTTCCTATCTCGCCGAGCTGAATCGATCTAGCTATGTATGCCCGTCCGTCCGTCTGTCCATTTTAATTTGTAATAACTATACAGGTCGCAATTATGGCCCGATCTTTACAAAATTTAGCATGGGGTCAAGTTCAGAATTATGCGATATTATGCGATCATCTTCAAAAACAATAGGCTTCTGTTTTTGAAAATGTTCGTATAATATTTAGGATTTAACATGGACCAAACAGATTTTTTTTTCCTGATTTTGCAGTTGCTCTACAGGTCGCAATTATAGACCATTATTGGGTGTATTATATTCAAGTCGCATTTAATGTCCGATTTTCCACAAATTTTACATGGGGATGGAGTTAGGATCAGAATTAAAGCCTATTGTTATTCAAGATGTATTATTAGGTATTCAAATGGACCAAAAATTAAAACTTTTCGCTGAAATTGCAGTGGCTCTACAGGTCATAGTTAAAAAGCAATCGACACGGAGTTTTGCAGGGTTAGGGTTACGGACAGCGCAGATGTCTAGCATTATGGACAAACTTTGATATGTTCTGATTTACCATGATATGTTTTTAGAGAACCTTTTGGATGTTGGGATCTATATCTGAGAAGAACGTTAGTGTTCCGTGTGGCGTTTGCATAGTAGGTGTTCAAACATCTCGAAATCTTTTTGTCTTTAAATTGTTGCTGATATTGCAATGGCCAATCAATAGCCCACCACGATTCTTAGATCGGAGCTACTAATTGAAATTTTTTATAATTTGTGAAAATTATTAACAGTGGTGCACTTTATTTAACATGATCTGAAACAAAATAACGATGAATGCAACTATTTTATGGTTTAAAATCGAAGTAGGATTAATGTTGAACTAGATGTCTATTTCACAAGTCCATTGAAGGAACCTCTTATTTTGTCAGGCTATTAATGCTCTTGCTGTTTCCAGTGATTTCGCAAGAAAGTGGTCCTGGATTGTTATTGAAAACGCTGACAGTCTACCAGAATCACTTCGACATTACAGCGCCAGATTCACAGTCTGCCTAAAATCATTCAATGTTTAATTGTCAATGCAATTGAAAACAAAACCCTGATGCGTTATTTGAGCCCATACTAGCTGTACTGTAGTTCACATTTGTAAGATTTGTCAGTCAATAAGTTACTATTTTTCTGCATAGCATTTTTTCACAAAAAAAACTGGAATTTTTAATCAAATATAGAATCAAAGGTTTGAAAATTAACCACTCTATTCTAATTATTACAGGTACCAGCTGATTTAGCTCTATAGTAATACTAATGTCAAATCCGATATAAATTTTTGTGATTTAATTCCATTCCTCGATACATAATAGGTATGTGGTTTTTATATTTATTGTACAACAACATCCAATTCGTTTTCCATCTTAGAACCACCAGATTGTCATACCATCCCGAGAATGGAAATCACTCACTATCTTTTGATTTATCTTATCACATTTGGCTATTTCTAGTAACTGAGGCCCGTTTTATTAAATTTGTTGTTTTGATCTCCGGATTTTCAGTTCATGTGTTGTGCAACATGTCAATCCCCTTTCTCCTCCCCCCACTTTTAACCATAACTCTACATCTAAAGCCAGAGCTATACTGCTAGTGAGAAATTAAAAACTCTACGCAGTCCTCCAGAAATTGAAAAAACACAAAAAAAAAACAAGAAAAAATATACCAAAAATTAATAGAAATACATCTTTGAAAAGAAAACCTTAAGAACTTACAAAAAAATATTATAAAAAAAAATCTTTACAAAATATTGGAAGAATATTGTCAGAAAAATAGAAACAAACGAAAAAATAAATAAATCAAATAATTACCATTTTACTCTATATATTTGAATGTAGAACTACAATCTATATACAATAACAATAATAACTAAAACATAAAAACAAAACTATATACTACTCCCTTTTACCAACCAAACCTAACTAACTAACTAACCAACCAACCTACCTACCGTTTGCAAAAACAATAATATGCAACTTTTTAACTGAAAGAAGAATACGAAAATCCCCAAATCCTTTTGTTTTGGAATAAAGGACAATTACCATCCATATAGCAGCAAATATCATCTTCATTTTTAAACAGTGTACACCTTTATTTGCAGCCCATTCACCCGGCAGAGCATTTTACTTTATATTAAGCCAAGAAATGGAAGGTTCCGTGATTAAAGTGTCTGTTAAAATGCAAAAGATTTCCTCTGACAAAGAAGTTTTTCAATTTGGTTTTTCAATTTCGCCCTCTTTGAAACAATAGATTTATGTAAAATTTGATTTTTTTAACGAAAAATTGACCGACAAACATTTTCCAAAATCAGTTAAAAATTTGAAAAATTTTAAAAGTCCTGCGGCTGGATTCTTTTTCTACGAATTTTTGTGAAATTAAAAATTTTATAAAGGAAAGAAATGTCAAATGAAAAATTTTATAAAGGAAATATTTCTCATTTCATATTTTCATAGAACAAGAATCCAGCCCCTGGGCCTCAATTCTCGTTCTATGAAAATATGAAATGAAAAATATTTTCTTCATAAAATTTTTCATGTGACATTTCTTTCATTTATAAAAGTTTCATTTCTCATTTTCATAGAACCAGAATTGACCCCCTGGTCCCCTTTTATTATTTGTTTGTTTTGTTATTATTGAAGATCCAATCAGTTCATTGCTTAAGTCTGGCGTATTTCCCCAATTGGCTTAACTTCACAGTACTCACTATTATAGAGAGTAATGTTATTTAAAAGGAAAGTGGGTCTATATAATACTTGCTGAACGCTACCAATATCGTGATTTTACCCCTGCGAAGGAAATATGATCTTAGCATTTTCAGCTTTTGGATATGACGACTTTGTTGAAAAGCCAGCTAGCTCTATAGGTGTCGAGCATACTCGAATGTCCTCAAGCATTCTACTGGTCACATTCTTCAGGCGGTATTTTTCGTTAGCATTTCCTATCGTATCGTCCTACAGTAACTGGCCCTCTAATTTTCCCCCAAGTCTATGAACTATATCAACAAATTTTAAATGAAATCATGATACAAAACTTCTAAATTTTAAGCCTATATATCTGTGAGATATGGAATTGATTTGTGAACCGCCATGACAAACAAAATTGTTGTGATATTCAAACAAAGTTTTTTTCTCTTGTTAATATCTGATATTTTTTGGACCTTTGTTTTCTATTAAACCGAGAGGATTTGTTCTCAAAGATTAATTGAAATTAAATTCTATTGAAGAAATTTTTAAAAAATACTGCTTTTTGGATCTATCTAAACATAAATTTCAAAATTAAACTGACATGTTATCGTAACTATTTGTTATATGGTCTGTTCCAAAACCCGCAAGAATCTTCTGGTTTAGCAATTTTTTCGATATCATGAAGAAAAATTTTGTTATCTTAGAAAAAACTTTTACATTCTTGCTGTTCTGGAACCAAACAATAATAAACTGTACGATTGAGGACACTTTCTTTCTACTTAAACTAATCTTGAAAAGAAAACATAATATCCATTTAAAATCAAACAATGTGATGGAAAAGCCCATGTAAACCCCTGTACAGATGGATATAACCCTGGCCATGCCACATAGAAAATGTAAAAAACCATTTTTAGATATTATTTTTATTCATTTCTTTTTTTATAACTAACCAAAATACCAAAATTAAGAGGGTATAATAAAATAATTATTTTTTAGTTGCAAACCACAACCTGTCTACCAAAACTAAAAACTAAGGCTGAAAACCAACCTATCCTCTTAAAACCATTTTTAATCTAATTATCTTCCATTATGATTTTACCAGTAAAATTGAAAACAAAACAAAAAAAAAGAATCCCAAAATTTCCCAGAAAAAATATGCCTATTTGTATATTATATTTTTTATATTTCCCCACCTAATTAATAGTTATTTGTTATTAAAAAATTTAAATATATATGATTTATTTATGTAATTTATCAAGTCTTCATTTCTGTTTAGTTTTTAAAACCGAGAAACGAAAACTATTTTTTGTTTAATTTTAAGTTCAAGGTAAAAAAAAAAAACAATATGTTGATAGCCATTATCGTAGATAGGATGACGACAAGTATTACAACTCCAACTCCCAACAGAGAGTACCATCCAATTTTATGCCAACTGGCCTTCCTTTTCACTACACATGCATAGCCTTCCACATTTTGCTTTTAAAATCAGTTAAATCAAATAAAATATAATAAAAATCTCCACCCAACCCGCCAGCAATTTAATAACAGAAAAATAAATATGTCAACATTTTGCTAATCAACAATTACAGCAACAAAAATTGGCTAAACATTGATAACTATATGCATAATAAAATAACACAAAACAAGTTGTATCATGTATGAAAAATAATAATTAAAAATAAATAAATAAAATAATGTTTATTTTGTGAAATATTATATAAGTTTAAAATATAAATATACCTATATATAACTATATAAATAAATAAAACAAAAACTGCTTAGTAAGTAACTATGTATTTGTGAAAAGTAAAATATATATAATATAAACTATATATAAAATAAAAACAATTTTTGTCGTGTAAAGAAAAACTATAATAAAAATAAAATGAAAAATTAAATAAAATACAAATATTTTTTTGAAGTTTTTGGTACCGAAAAACATTTGGGATGTAAAATACATAAGAGTATTGAGCTTTAAAAAATTTAAAAGCATTTAAAATCGACCATCGGAAATTGGATACAAGAACGGCAAATTTTTGGGAGATGATGCCAATAAATAGTACGGTCCATATATAGGCAAATATTGAAAAATGAGCTCGGGGTAAAGCCATTACAATTCCAAAAAGTGCAAGAACTTACACCACAACAGAAAGAAATTGACTCTAAGAGCTAAAGAATTGTTTCGCTTGGCCGAAAGTAATGAACTGCCGAATTTGGGTTTCTCCGATGAGAAAACATTCGTTGTCCAGCAGTTTGTAAACAAACAAATTTATCAAAATTATCATGTTACTTGCCAAAGATGTCAGGTTAAAATGTGCACCTTCTGTTGGCCACCAGAACTGAAGCGCTGGTCATGGTGATGGTGTGGGCCACCATAACAGTCGATGGTCGCTCTCCGCTTGTATTATAATCGACCGTGGCATCAGAATAAATGTCGAATATTATCGCGAAAATATTCTTGAGGGTGTAGAAAAGCCTTAGACACGCAAACATTTTTGCCGCAGACCTTGGACATTCCCACAGGACTCAGCATCATCGCACTCAGCACGTGCCACCCAAGAATGGTTACAAAATAAGGTTGCTCGCTTCATTTCCAGCGCACAATGGCCACCAAAATCTCCGGATACCAATCCGTTGGACCAAAGTGTCGTTGAAAAAAATACCAAAGTGTCGATTACCTCACGCAAGCGCTTCACCAGGAATGGGCCAAAATACCGCAGAGTAACATTCGGACAGAGTGTGACGGTTTCATTGACCGTTTGAAGGCCATAATTCGTGACAAAGTTGACCAATTCGAACAAATCTAAAGTTATTCTAAAATTTGATGCTATTTCCGACATTTTTTGCTTTCATTCAATAGAATTGAAAAAAAAAAATTTTAAAAATATTTTGAATGATTATAACTCTCATAAAATCTATATATATAAATGTAAGTTGTGTTAGTTACTACGCTTATAACTTAAGAACCGCTGGATTAATTTTAACGATTCACACAAATTCGGAGTTGTCTACTCTCCGAAAAGGATAATATCCAAAAAAATCGCGTAAAAATGTGATATATTAACATTTTCATTTTGACTTTTCAAATGTACAATAGTAATGTTTTATTTTGCATGATTTTGTTTCCATTTTGACTTACTTTTTTCTAATGTACATTTGTAGTGTTTTTTATATTTTATTTTTGAATTCGAATATTTATACCAATTTATTTAATTGACTTGATTTCTTGAGAACTGAAATTGATGGCGGGTTACATGGAAGTGTAGTAGCGAATTATGTGGTGGCGAAACGGAATAGATGATATCGAAATAATTTAACGCGGTCACACCAAAGTTAAAAGATAATTACTTTTTCTAAATCGCTGAAAAATCATGAAAAAGAGATCTCATTGCAAAAATCAAAAAAACATTTTCAATGGAATCGAATTTTAAAGTAATAGTACATTCTATTGACAAACTTTGTAAGGAAGGATCTTAAAACATTTGCTGTAAAAAATCAGCGAAAAAGTTGAAGACTTTTTCAATCTGTTATTCTTTTTTTTGTCAATTTTTTTTTTCAATTTGTATTATCATATTGAATTCAGTGGATTTTTTGTGAACAAAATAAAGAATAATTTTTCACTAAAAAAATTAAATAAGTGCGAAATAGGATGTTAACTGACATCTACCTTTCAACTCCAGGGCCTACATCGTGGGTTAGCTGGAAGATGCGAACACATTTAAACAAACAAAAATTACCGAAAAAGCTTAATGGGGCTCATTTCAAAGCGTGGCAATGATCCGTCCAATGAGAGCTCAAAATGCAAAATTCTTTGGGAGAATAATAAGTAATATACCAATATTGAAATAAAAGGTGCAAAATAGTAGAGCGAATGGGACTTTTAGTAAGAAAAGATTTTATATCCTTCCAGAAATTCTTCCCAAACATTCAAAATACCTAAAATCACTTTTGCAGGTCTTTATATCGATCATAACTCACGGATAAGGGAACAACCCGATTTCATATTTATATAACCATCTATGATTTAAGTTATTTTTGGGGTCTTGGCCGGCCACTTTTTTCATTTTTTGGCCCTTATTTGACATTTTTGTTTCTAAGGGGGTAGATAACCTCTTCGCATAAAATTTGAAATTTTCAGAGTAGGGCCCATATTGGTATTGACCACATTCTTCAATTGATTTGGCTAAAAAATTGTATTTATGCCACCCTGGGGTAGGGAACCATCATACAGATAATTGCCACATAGGAATTTATTTAAGTAAAGTCCCCACATTGGAGTATCCCCAAGTCCACTTTCACATCTAATGTGTATTCAGAAAAGAAAATTTTGTATTCTATTGAATTTTTAACCCCCAAGAGAATATTGGTTGGGAACGTAGATTTGGGATGTGCATCCATATGAAATAAATTGTGGAAACATGAAGAAATTACAAATATAAGAAAGTAGCACGGGACCGAATATTTGTTTAATCATCATTGAATTATCCTATAATGAAAATATGGACTTTAAGGGGTCTCCAACTTACAATTTAAATGGCAAATAAAATTAATTCCCATCTTATCATTCTGCCCTCAATTATGAGGTGGATAAAACTATTTTTACTTATTTAAATCGCGCGAAATGCTATGACATGCTATATTGTTCTGCTATATTTTTGATTTGGCCTCTATTTGTCATCTTGGATTATAAGGGGTAGAAGAAAGTTTTCAATGTAGGTCGATGTTTCGGAGTAGTGCCCATATAAAGAAGGTACCTCCTAATTTAACCACATTTCAAAGAATTTGGCTAATAATGCGTATTAGGGGGGTGAAAATCTTACACTAAAATTTCAACATATCTACAAATTTTAGAATTTTTATCCATGTTATAATACCCTCTCAAGTCCACCTTTTGGCAGACAAACAGACTGACATGGTTAGGGGGACTTATGAGGACTCTAATGCACAATCTAAGTTGCTAATGGGTTTAAAAAAGTAATTAACTTTGGCTATTCTTAAATCATTCAGCCCTCAATTATGTAGTATACAAAATACAGCAAATTCCAAATTACTGCTCATTTGACTGGAAGATTTTGCTACGATTTTTACCATATTAAAAATTAATTTGATCCCTTATATGGCGATAAGATTGATATATACTTTTTAATAGATTTGTATAGCACATCCACACAGTTGAAGCCCACGGTTTAAATATTGAAGCCCACTGGTTAAAAATGGGTACAGGTATTTTAAAACACTTTAAATCGACCTATACGTGAACACTTATATCAGTCATATCTGTGAATAATTATGCTTGGGAATATATGCATAATAGACAAAAACTACGGGCCGGCACCGCGGACCGGGCCAGCTAGTATAAAATAATTTACCAATATTTTTTACTTTGCTATTTTCGTTTACTTTCCCCTACATTAGAGTGTGAATATTATATTCAAAAAGAAAAGATACCTTAAAAAAATAACCCCTTCTGAGGTGTTTCAGAATTGGTGAAGATTGGAATATAGCTTTGCTACAACATCAAGTTAATGCGAGATCCCCTCTAGAAATTGTCTATACTGACTATAAAGAGTATATCTAAACTTTACATTTTATATCTTAAGTTTGACATACTTCCTCTTCATATTCTTCTTATTTAAATATCAAATTTAAACCTCAAAACTACCTCCACGAAACAACTAAAACACACATTGCACTCAAACCTTTTAAACGTAGTCAAATCTTTTGAAATTTGAGTAGAAATGTAGGTGCAAGTGAAGCCTTATAATTGCCGGTAAAATCAATTAGCCAAACATTGACCACCACACAAATAGCAACGGTAGAAGTTCTTTAGACAATTTACTCTCAACATGGAACGTTGGCACAATAAATTGGCAATTGTAACAGGAGCCAGTGGAGGTATAGGTGCGGCTTGTGCACGGGCTTTAGTTGGAGCTGGTCTGCGTGTTGTGGGTTTGGCCAGAAGGGAAGCCAAACTGAGGGAATTACAAAATAATTTACCCGAAGGGCAAAAATCCCTGTTTATTCCACGAAAATGTGATGTTTCCAAGGAGGATGAGATTATCAGAACTTTTGAATGGACCGAACAGCAATTGGGTGGCGCTGATGTACTGCTGAATAATGCAGGGTAAATTTGATGTTTTTATGAATATATTATATTAATGCGTTTTTTACAGCATAACCCGTGAAACGGAATTGGTTGCCCCCGGAAATACCGAGAAAATTCGTCAAGTAATCGACACAAATGTCATGGGTGTTCTTTGGTGTACCCGCGAAGCTTTTCAGCGCATGCATAAACGAGGCAATGAGGCTCATATTTTAATAATCAATAGCATTGCGGGTCAACAAGTGTTAAATTTTATTGATGTCCTGCCATCATTTAATATATATCCTGCAACAAAATTTGCCATCACCGCAATGACGGAAACCTATCGTCAAGAGTTTCAATTGTATAAGAGTAAGGTTAGAGTTACTGGCATTTGTCCAGGAGCTGTAAACACCAATATATTTCCGGAGGAGATACATTTTTATGTAAAGGATATGCCACGGCTGGATCCGGAAAATATTGCCCATGCAGTTTTGTTTGCACTCAGATCGCCACCAAATGTTCAGGTAAAGCAGAAAAAATTATGAATGAAGGAAGAAATTAGTTTTCCATTTATTTTTCAGGTGCATGAGATTACCCTAAAGCCGATGGGAGAAATGTTTTGAAGTAATGGAAGCATACGAATTTAAAGCATGTAAAGTTACTAAAATGTCTTTAATATTAAAACTCTGAAATCTTTTGGCGTTTGAAAAATTAAATTCCAAGTAATGGAACTTAAAAATGGATGTATTTTTTGTTTTTTATTGGTGATAATGAATTACATCTTTGTGTGACTCTCACAACTAATACAATGGCTCAGCAACTTGTTCATGTTTGGCAAATCAATGTCAATGATTTCTTTACACGACATGGACTGCCCGTCCCTGCACTATACGTGGACTATCAATTTACATACCATCCTGTTATTCTCATAGTCAATAAAGTTTGTTTTGCTATTTCTAGGTCAACAACGCAATAGCATCGCTAATTTTTCATTTATTTGGAGATAGAATTGATTATTGTGCACAAAACGACTTCGTTTTTTATTTATTGAATTTGCTTCCTCTTCTTCAACATATCCAACTTTTGTCTTAAAACTCTAGCATTCAAACGATGCATACAAAGAAATTGACCATTCAAATAAAGAACAGGTATATCATGGCGATATAAACGTAAGAAACGTACATTCTCCTTCTTATCTATGTACACCTTCTCCAATTCATATTCACCGAGAAAATTCATTTCTAAATCTACTACCAGCATTTCACACAAATGACACGGGTCCTTGGTGAATAATGTTAGGCGGGGTAGTGTGCCCTGGGCATTTGGAAAATGTCTAAAAGTAAGAGAAAACATATTATTAAAACAGTATAACATTAGATATGCCCGGAACTTACAATTTCTCCATTAGAGCAATTAAAGCATCATTGTCGTTTGAATGAATTAAACCTCCCAAATTATACGGCTGAAGACTGTGGCTCATGTGTGTCAGCATGCGATACAACGAAGCCGCTGAAGAGTTAGTTAAATAACTACAACCATAAGGATTAATGTATTCTGGTATATTAAATTTGTCCTGAATTGTATTCAGGGCATTGTTATTAATTTCCCAATGCATAATTTGACTAATATCAACATTTGATCTCTCCACTATGTGCCGCACCTCCAGTGGCATTTTCTCAATGTCTGCATTTTCCACAATATTGTAATCTTTTAGCTTAGCCAAAGGTTTTATATTATATTCCAATGCCTTGGCCATGGTGGTAAGTACCAATGCCGCCGCACCATGATATGTGGAACTGTTTTCTTCATTAACTTCATCTTGTTCAATTTCTATTTGAAATCTTCTTTGATTTGGCAATTGTTGCAATATTCTCAAAGGGACTAGTTCAACATCGTATAATCCTTGAAAAGTAGCTCTATGATGTAATGATTTGTAATAATCTCCATTGTTTATAACTCCCTGGTTATGAGGTATTTCCGATGCGGTTTCTACCCCACCAACTACAACAAATTCGGAACTACCAGCCATTAGTTCTCCAATGCTTTTCACCAGGGATGAATAAGCACTATGTTTCTGCTCTACCTCATTTTCAATTTGAATGTTAGCTTTCTTTAAATAGCCATTACATATTTCATCCAAATTCAACTGCAACTCTCCACAAGATTTCTGAACTACAGAAATATGTTTTATTTTCTCTAATGGGGCTCCTGCTTGTTTGATGGCAGCCTCTAAAGCCACCGTGATCAGTGCAGTTGGTCGTACCAAAGATATTTCACCCAATGGATAGCCCCATGGCGTACGAACTGCTGATGCTACAACAATGGCATCTCGTTCCGAGTGTATGTGACGACATGATCGAAAGAGAATTGTTCGAAGTTTCGGATATACTCTGAAACGGAACGAAAAAAAATATATTGTAATTTTATATAAATAATTAATTAGTTCGATGTTACGATTTTATACCCTCTACAATGAGGACAACTTAAATTATAGCAAAGTACGATGGTAAATCTAGCTGAGGCCTTAAAAAATATCTACAACTAACGTAAGGCTAAGGCCCTTGCGAGCACGAAATAAAGTCGCATTAGGTTGGAAAGGTGGCTTTGACCTTAAATATTCAAATAGGGGGAACGGCGCTGTATAGGGCTTACCCAAGTCATATTGGACCTAACCATATCAAAATAAGAACTCAATTGGGTTTCTATGACTGAATCCTCAACGACGAATGGAAATAGGAATTTTTCTACTCCTGAGTGATCTGAGGGGGGGAATTATTAATGATTCCAAAATTCAATAGGTTAAGTCAAGTGTATGTTGGAAATCTTACCACAATCTGTCCTCGGTATTAAACTAATATTTCTGTGTCTATAGCGCAAACCGCCCGAGATTTGGACCCACAAAGTTTTCTATATTGCTTGCAGTACCTCTCCACTTGACGAAAGTCTCCAATTTTAAAATTTGAGACATTGCATTGAAAATATCCATATGTGTCCAATTCCCTACCAAAGAATTGCAAAGCAGAAATACCTCACTTCTTAAGATTAGATTCTCGACATAGTTCAGAACTTTTAAAACGGTCCTTCCTAAACAATTGGCAGACTCCTTACATCACAGATTCAAGTTAAATGATGTCCTTTAAACAAAAGAATTTATAACGCTGTTAGCAAATTATTATCTTAAACGCATACAACTAACTTACATATGTTTATTTTATTTAGAATTTATTACATTTTTTGCAAAAGCTGCATTTTCAATAAATAAAAAAAATACTTGGTGCTGTCTCGCAGAAAACCCGAAACTAACAAATTAAAAAAACGTTCCAAACTATGCAAACAAGGGGGAGATTGCTACTGCTCACCAGATAAATTTAGCACAAACTTGTTGGCCAGGGCACAGCGACCACCAGGCAGGTGGTTGATAACATTTGGTAAAGAATTTCCACCAATTTTCCATGAAAATGTATTATTAAATTTTCACATTTGTATTGACTTTCTTCTCTCCTTTGCCTAACAATGCTTTCCAAACAGATGGTAAAAACAGCTGATTTTTAACCGGCTCATAAGTAATAGCATGTTCCCACGAATGCGCCAGTTCACACGATATATCTGCGATTAAATAAATTGTAAATCTGTCTTTCAATTTGTAACATTTCCAAATATTCGTCGGAGACCCCACATCAGCATACAATTCTAAGCCAATTTTACGATGTCCCTCTGTCTGTACCTCCCCAAATTTGGTATTTCTATGATTTTAACCACATTGTTTCCAAGGAATTTGTCTAAATATGGTATTCCACTTTGTAACGAATTCGCAAAGAACATTATTGAAATTCAAATTGTTGAATTAAAAATTATTCAAATAGTTTGAAATTGTTGACAACACAAAAATAATAAGCTCCAAATTAACGCCCTGGATGTTTCACAACATCGAATTCCTAACACTATTTAAATTCTTCATTCCAATACGGATTTTTTCTCCACAAAAGTAATATGAATTTAAATTTCAATTGAAAATTGTTTATATTATTTTGTTTATTATACAAAACAATACATACACACACAAAAACTGTATAAATTTTCGCGTGTGATATGTGGAAGACATAGCTTTGTTATACCTTTTGTAATTGTGCCATGCATGTTATGACCATGTCAGAATTAAGAAGGTAAAGTCATGCAATCATATATGTATTTTTTTTCAAAATTATTTATTTGACAACATCTCATTGTCAGAATGTATATTCATAAATCCATTGTGCATACAGAAATCAGAGATGGTAACCTGCTTTCTATGCAGTGAAATTTGACAAGGTAAATTACAGAAAATGCAAAGATGGAAAAAGTTATTTGAAATGATTTTACCTTCTTATATTTTCATCGTTATCACAAAGAATTTAACCTGATTGGTCATGAAATCCATAGGGAAAACACCTGTTGCATGTCATTTCAAATAATTCTGACAGAAAGCGGGCATGCCATCAGGATTACAACGTATATATGATCAAAAATTGCACTTTTTGTACCGAAATAAATCTTAAGAGAAATATAGAACATAGTTTTGAACATGGTACAATGAATTCAAGGTAGGGCAGAACTACCATATGATTTAATTTTTTTTTATTTTTCTGGCTTAATATGTCAACTTCATTTGCTTATGTGTGTATCTTCTTTTCAATAATAAAAAATTGTTCAGAAAATATTCAAATTCGGGTGTTTTCAAAATGCTTATTGCAACGAATGCATCGACAAAATCTACAGTTGTTTGCTTTTTTATTGTTTTGATAGTAATTCTGACATTACAAGCCAAGCAGGTAGACCTCTATACTTGCAATTTTTTCAAAGTTGACCTAGCTTCTCTTCATTGTACCATGGTTCTGAAAAGAAATGTAGAAATTTCATTCAATTTTCGTTTTTTTTTTTTTTTTTCAAAGAGGTCAGATGAAAATGTGCACCTTGGGTTGGCCACCAGAACTCAAGCGCCAGCCATGGTGATGGTGTGAGCAGCCGCAACAGCCGATGGTCTCTCTCCGCTCGTATTAATCGACCGTGGCATCAGAATAAATCCCGAATATTATCACGAAAATGTTGTGGAGGGTGTATTAAAGCCTTGGGCACAAAACACTTTGGCCGTCGACCTTGGACATTCCAACAGGACTCAGCACCATCGCACTTAACACGCGCCACCAAAGAATGGTTTCAAAATGTGGATCCTCGCTTCATTTCCAGCGCACAATGGCCACCAAAATCTCCAGATACCAATCCGTTGGACTATTGTGTGTGGAGTATTTTGAAAAGCAAGGTTGGCACTAAAAAATACCAAAGTGTCGATCACCTCGCCGGGAATGGGGAAAAATGCCGCAGAGTAACATTCGGGCAGCGTGTGACGGTTTCATTGGCCGTTTGAAGGCCATAATTCGTGCCAAAGGTGACCAATTCGAACAAATCTAAACTTATTCTAAAATTTGATGTTATTTCCGAAATTTCTTGCTTTCTTGCTCTTCCTGTATATCCTATTGCTTTGAATAATAGAGTAAACCATTTGAATGATTGCATATTTAGTTGTAACAAAAGTGCAAATTATCGTCGTTAATGAGGAATAAACTTCAAAAAGTTGGGACAAAGCTAAATTGTCCTTCCTCCTTGGATACGTTTTTATGAATCAACTCTGTCATCGCATTCATGTTTTCTGGTAAAAACAAGTAAAAATGCAACTAAATACCCTCCCCCATATGGAAGAAACTTAAAATATTTCAAAAAAAAAAATCCGTTGATAAATACCGCTTAAGTTGTTTTGTCATAGGCTGTAGTACCGATTTTGAATTTAAAATATAAAATTTGAAACAGTTCCGGTGAATAATGTCGCCAATATAGGTTGCAGTTTCTATTATGAACTTCAAATAAAAACATTTGAAGCAATTCCGGCCTAGGTACGGCGGTGAGGTACGTATAGAGACTATATGAAAACGTAGACCGAAATGGCCCATTTATGAACTTAAAATGACTACTGGAAAAATACATATGTGTGGAGAATTTGGGTTTTTTTTCTCAATTAGTTTCAAAGATAACGTGATTACAACAGACTGAGAGACGGACATCGCTAAATCGATTTAGAATCGATATACTTTTCATAGAATGGTGGAAGGTAAAAAAAAAAACAAATTATTCCATATGGCATGGTAGAATCAAGAAGGTAATATCATGAAAACATATGTTTACAATATTTTCAAAATTATTCATTTAACAACATCGCATTGTCAAAATAAAGATTTACAAATCTTTTATAAATACATAAATCAGGTATGGAAACCTAGTTTTTATGCAGTGAAATTTCCTCGCAACAAACAAATAAGTTATCATTTCCCTATAAAAATAGTTTATTCTCATGGGTTTGACAACTAAAATGAAGTCAATCTATTATGCGATTTGTGCAACTTCTACATATGAAAATTATGGCATTAACAGTGCGCCTAATAGAGCCTTGCTTCGAAGTAAAGGTTTAATATCCTTCCGATTAGCACTTAAAAACGATGAAATATAAACAAATTTGAATATTTAGTTTGATATCTAAAAGTTGCTGGAACGTCTTTGAATGCGTCATGTTTCTAATGTAATTCGCTTTGCTATATTTCCGTTGGGGATATTAACTTCTGATGAGTTGTACATAACGTCTTTGCGCCATCTAACGGGCAATAGTACGGAAGTGAATAGTGTTTGCTGTAAAATACTATCCAATGCTTTTCAAACTGTTAACAAATAAAACAACGGGTTTAAATCCAATGAAATTATATGTTAACTAAATGATTTGTTCCCTTGCCTTTAAAATGGCAAATGTTGCAAAAATAATTAAATATACACTTAATCATGCTTTAGGTTTACTTGTCATTTTATTGCAGACTCTTTCAGGATATATTACTCTAAAAAAACGTTGTTTACATTAATACTGTACAATTCCTGTGTAATGCAATTGATCCAAAATTGCTGTCTTTAATGGACCAAATATTTCTTATCTTCATCGGGACTATTGTGAAAACGAACGGTTTCAAAGCCATCAACCAATATTTGACGATCCTCATCATTGCTTGCATCTCGGCGTAACGACTGTAAATTCGTATGGACCGGCAAATATCTTCGCAGCTGTGGTAATTTTCTCCAATATTTTCGTTTGTAACATACCCACAAAACTGTTCCTCCTGCGCCCAGTATAAAGAATATTAAAAATATATTCCAACTATGCGAACCACGGCCAGCCAATTTAGTTTTGGTATACACCTGGACACCACTACAGATTGTAATCTCGACCCAATCGGTAAAGGTGTGATGACCTAATGATTCCACCCTTACAGCCGCCTGGTTGAATGTGGAATTCAGATAACCTTGATAGAGGAAATTGTTACGCTGATGTTCGCGACGTGTCAGACAATGCACATGACCCTGATAGGGTCCATTGGAGGAGGAATTAAAGTATCTAAAATGCAGGGCATATAATGTTATGTAGCCATTGGGTTTCTCCGGTTCCTTAAAGTGAACGCGATACTCATTATTGTGTGACATTTTACAAGCTGTCAAATCGTAGATTTTGTCAGCAGCCAAAGAATAATTTGTCCTTTCGTTGATGATGCGAAACGAACCACAGTCGGCACGATTGCAGGCTTGCACCTGTATGGCATAGAGTTGATAACGCTCCAAAGAACGTATGGTATAATTTGTTTCACTGTGCTCCAGGCGTTTGGTCAAAATGGCATTGGCATTGTTTGTATAGTTATCCTCCAGTGGATTAATTTCACAATATTTTTTATTATCCAAGGAACAGGAGAACTCCTTTTCCAGTTGTCTTTGAAACATATCATCTTCAGCTTCTTCCAAACGTCGACTGCAACAATCATCAAAATCTTCATTGTGATAATCCGGAAACGGTTTCATTGGATCCTCACAGTAATCCCGTTGATCCAACACCATGGGATTTTCGGGAATTTCATAGACCTCCAACATATAGAAATCAATCAACTGATCTTCACGATTCGCATAGGACAGCTGTAGAGTTAAGGAGTTGAATGATTTCTTTGTGATTTGGATCTGGGGTGGCGGTGGTATATCCATTTGGGTGGTAAAGAATTTGATTTCACTTCGTGCTTCCTGATTATCATCCTCACCGAAAGACTTGACCAAGCAGGCATATTTGGTGTGAGGCGTTAACGTTTGAATTTTATAGAAATAATGAGTATTATTTTGCTCCAAATCCTGGGGAAATTTCAACTCTCTCTCCCAGTAGACTCGTTCACACACATTCGTGTCTAATTCACTATGCTCCACGAATGGTTTGTTGGGATCAGTGGGACGATATAATATTTCCACTTGCTCGAATGTTTCATCTTTGGCCCAGCTTAATTTTATGGAGCGATAGGAGAGGACCTGTAAGAGAAGATGAAAAATGTAGTGAGTTTGTAGTACATATATTTAGTTCAAGTACGGATTCTACTTCCTTGAAAATTAGTTCCAGATGGAGTGGAGGGTATTCAATGTTCGGCCAGACCGAACTTAAGGTGGAAATACATAAAGCGCTTATTTGTCTGGCTTCTTCGGAAATGTACAAAGGAGCCTATGGCCAAAATCGAACTAAGTCAACCTAAAACTCCTTTGTTCGTCTACGAAGAATCCACCCGATGACTTAAGCCAGCCATATAAGCGCTTTATGTATTCCTACCTTTGTTGCTTTTTTACTTGTTAATAATTCATTTGGAATTTCGTACAAGCCCTTCTACACTTACTTCCACGAACAAATTCAATTTCGCCGGTGCACACAAGACCTCCTGATCACTAGTCTGTATTGAGTCCAAACTGTGGTCATGTTTAACGGTATTCTTAAAATTTCGTATAACCCTATTACACAGTCTATCATTGGCCTGTATAGAAATTCCGCCGTTGGCCAATTCAAGGCCCTCCCTAACTGGCCAAAGTTCACGTAGGTTTTGATTATCATACAAAATCAAAGAATAATGATGCAGCTCCAATGGTTTGCCGTGGATTTTACGAAGATTTCGGAAAAACTTTAATGATGTCAAATATGGAGATCTGGAAAGAAGAACACATAAATATTATTTCATTTGGCAACTTTGTAATATTTCCAACACATACTTGAACACCTTTAAGTGACCCACAATTTCCTCAATATCACTGAGATGTTGCACGAATTCCGATTCAATAAATCGATTAGTTAAACTTATGACAACACTACCATTGCAAATCTGGCAACCTTTGAGATGTTCAATATCAGCCAAAGTTTGAATGAGAATGGCACCGCCCTCTTTGATAGGATTACAAACTTTGGTACAACTATTTACGCCGCCACAAGAGTCACATTCATGAGTGACATTCTGGAAAGAATAAAAAATGTAAAGAATTTCCATTCATTAGAGGTGAGAATACATAAAACTTTTTTTTTTGACTGGTTGAAGACATCGGCTGGTTTCTTCGGAAAAGAACAAAGGAATGTGAGGCCAAAATCGAACTAAGTCAACCTAAAGGTGAGAATATAAACAAAGGTGCGTAGCAAGACCCATTAAATAGGTCGTCCGATTAGCCCAGCTGATTTCACCCATTCTGTCAAAATACATTTGTTTATATTTGGAATTCGAATAATGACAAGCTGTCATTATACAATAGGCCTGTCTGGTTATTTTTCTGAAATAATTGTCTAGTAGTTTCTTTCTGAGAGTTTTATTCTAAGCTGATTTATGAAAATCGAAGGAATAAAAAGAAATGAAGTACACACATATTTAAAATAAGCCGTAAGACTATACAATTAGGCTTTTGATTACTAAAATAAATATGTTTTAAATGTGCATCGGAAGGAGAAGAATAGCAAATGATTGCAAGAAGAAATTTGTCTAGGAAGAATTTGCAAACTCACAGTGAAAGAATTCCTCTCTCGAGTGAGTAACTCTCTTTTGCAGATCTTTTGTGTTAAAAGTAACAGTTGTTAAAAATTTTAGGGTAACCAGACACACCTAATTCTATTCTGGCTGCTTGACTGCAAATGCGAAGGTCAAAAAGGAGCACAAATTGCCAAAATATGTTCATTGAAACGTCTTGCCTTCTGTTTAATTTTAATACTATGCTCGTGTGCTTTGTTTCGTATGCTTTACTTTGTTTTTTTCTCGTAGATGTTTATAAATTCGCCACAAAAAAGATAAATAAAGGCGAATTATTATTCGCTTCAGAAGAAATTTTGACAGTTCGAAGAAGTAAAATAGCTGTTTTTAAGACAATTCGCCCTTTACACGACCTAATAAATGGGCCTCGTAGCACCAAAATCGAACTAAGTCAACCTAAAGTTTTTTTGTTCCTCTACGAAGAAGCCAGCCGATGATTTAAACCATTCAGAAAAGCGTTTTGTGTATTCTCACCTTAAGACTCCTTCGTCACTCTACGAAGAAGTCAGACGATGATTTAAGACGGTCAGAAAAGCGTTTTATGTATTCTCACCTTAAAGGTATTTGGTACTCACATTGACATTATATCCCGCCGGGCACGATGTAACGCAGGTATTTTTATAGATTGCCAATTTCTTTTCCACACACTCTTCCCGCGTGTAGCAACGTAAATAATCGGCTGAAATGTATTTATCGGGGGGACACTCCTCAACACATTCACCATGATCGGTCCAGGAGCGACATACGGCACATCCACGATTACTGCACCCACCAAGGCATTGTTCATCACAGTGTTGTATTCGTCTAGATGTGTGAAATTTGAAAATGTGTTATCAGTATCAGTCATGAAACAATAAATAGGTACTCCATTTTTCAACAGCATATAAAAATGCACTTATTAAAAAAACATTAAAGCTCACATACTTTCACTGCGTATAAGTCAAATAAAATCCAGTGGACCTCACAGTCGATTTTATTTGACGTACAGGGTGAGATGAAAAAACTGCAATCAACTTCAGACTGCTGTCATTTCCAAACCACTCGTCCGACAGCTGTTAAAATTATGACAGTGACAACTCATTATATTGTTTACAAGCGTACAACAGCATGTTGGACAGAATTTTCAGAAAAAAAATTTATTCGTGATGGAATTCAATCGTGATAGTGTGATTTCTTTAAGCTGGAAATACATAAAGCGCTTATCTGGCTGGCTTAAGTCATCGGCTGGCTTCTTCGGAAATGAACAAAGGAGCCTAGGGCTAAAATCGAACTAGGTCAACCTAAAACTCCTTTGTTCATTTACGAAGAAGCCAGCCGATGACTTAAGCCAGCCAAATATGCGCTTTATGTATTTCCAGCCTTATTTTTGGCTGGAAAACCACAAGTGGCTATCGTTAGAGCACTTCAGCAGTTAAATGTGAATAAATCTTTTGTGTTTCGTACCATTTCCCGTTACCGTGATACTGGTAGAGTAGTCCGACGTCAAGGAAATGGACGGAAGAAAACAGCAACATCAGCAGAAATGGTTCGAAAAGTAAAGAAGCGACTTGATCGACACCCTCGTCGCAGAGGCCGAAAAATAACTCTTTAGCTGAAAATATCGCAATATTCCATTCAGAAAATATTGAAAAATGAGCTCGGGGTAAACCCATTGAAATTCCAAACAGTGCAAGAACTTACACCGCGACGGAAAAAAAATAGACTCAAAAGAGCTAAAGAGTTGCTTCGCTTGACCGAAAGTGGCGGAGTGCCGATCTAGGTTTTCTCCGACGAGACAACATTCGTTGTCCAGCAATATGTGAACAAACAAAACGATCGTGTTTACTTGCCAAAGAGGTCAGCTGAAAATGTGCACCTTCGGCTGGCCACCAGAACTCAAGCGCCTGCCATGGTGATGGTGTGGGCCGCAATAACAGCCGATGGTCGCTCTCCGATCGTATTAATCGATCGTTGCATCAGAATAAGTGCCGAATATTATCGCTAAAATTTTAAAGTCTTGGGCTCGCAAACATTTTGGCCGCAGAACTTGGACATTCAAACAGGACTCAGCACCATCGCACTCAGCACGCGTCACCCAAGAATGGTTACAAAATGAGGTTCCTTGCTTCATTTCCAGCGCCGTTGGACTTGCCGGGAATGGGCCATAATACCGCAGAGCAACATTCGGGCAACGTGTGACGGTTTCATCGCCCGTTCGAAGGCCATAATTCGTGTCAAATCTAAACTTGTTCTAAAATTTGATGCTACTTCCGACATTTTTTGGTTTCATTCAATAAAATTAAAAAAAAAAAAATGTAAAAATTATGGCGTTTGACTTTTTTGCAGTTGTTTTATCTCACTCTGTATACTGTGGATTTATGAATGTGCGATTTATGATTTTATAAAATGTGTAAACATTTGATTGCACAATGTTACCTTCTTAATTCTACCATGCTTCAAAGCTCACATACTACACACACATAGAGATGAGAATACATAACAAGTTTTTTTTGTGTGGGTTAAGTCATCAGCTGGCTTCTTCGTAAAAGACCAAAGAGTTTTAGGTTGACATAGTTCGATTTTGATCCAACGATTCTTTGTTATTTTACGAAAAAGCCACCCTATGACTTAAGTCAGTCAAAAAATCGTTTTATGTATTCTCACCTTAACAGAGAAAATCCACTGGATTTGAGAGTCGATTTTATTTGACGTATACACAATGGAATTGAAACCTACCATTATTCTTCCCTACTTACTCTTGCATTTTGATGACATTATCATTTTCAAATTTCTGACACACTTTATTCGACCAACAGTAGCCCGAATTACAGCCCGAACATTGATCTATGGTTGCCGGGCAATTGGCATCCTTAACGGGATATATGTAATTGTCACCCGGTGCTAACGTTAAACGATCGAAATTTATCTTAAATAGAAATGCAATTTAAAAAAATACCTCTTTTTATATTTAAATGCAATTGAAATTTGAATACTTACTCTGTTTAAGTAGCATAGTTTTGGATTGTCACCAATATAAACATGACCACGTTGAATTGCAACCAAATTGGGGAATTCCAGCTGGAATAAAGATTACATACATAAGTAACTAATAAGTGACCTCTTGGAAAGTTTAGAATATTCCTAGTTGAGTTTTTTGAACAACATAAAATGTTGAAATTCTCTTTTTATACCCTCCACCATGAACAGGATGGTATATCAACTTTGTCATTCCGTTTGTAACAACCCTAAATATTCGCCGTAGACCCCATAAAGTATATATATGTTCGTGATCAGCATAAAATGTCCGATGTAATGATGTCCGTCTGTCTGTCTGTTAAAATCACTATACAGTCCACATTATTCGACGTAGAGCTTCAAAATTTGGCATAACAATTTGTATTGTGTCTAGGATGGTTGGTATTGAAAATCGGTCCACGTTTTGCTATAGCCGTCATATAACGGTACCTTCCAACATACGGTATTTTGATGATTTTCGCTCGATCCAGATCAGCAGAATCAAAACTCTTCATTTAAATACTACTGCTACAACAACAACAACAAAGGAGTTCAAGGTTGACTTAGTTATATTTCGTCCCAAGCATTTATCGTTGACTTTTTAACGCCAGAATTCCACCGACAACATAAAAGGCTTTTTTGACTGACTTAAGTCATCTGCTGGCTTCTTCGTAGAGGAACAAAGTATTTTGTTGTTGCAAAATGGTCAGGCTTAATCCCTTTATTGATGTTTTTAAAAATAAATAAACGTTGTTTTTAAACGTAGGGGTTTATGTTGTAACAGACAAAACCAACTTACATGGTTATGCTACTTCGTTCAGGTGGAACGAAAGCATAACAAGATGTAAATGTTTATAAGTGCGGTTGTAAGATTTAGAAGATTTTCCAAAAGAATTTTAGTTTTATTTAATTCTTTGGTTCCTCTTCTATTGAGCTTACGAAAGGGATTAAGCCTGACCATTTTGCAACCACAGCCAAAAATAATTTTATGCACTCTCACCTTAAGAAGCCACTGGTTAAATCAGAGGCTCAAATGGATCACTGCCGGAACCGGCCTTGTGCAACATGTTTGTTAGCGACATCTCCGGACCGCCTGAAGAAGGTTTACTGCTAATGTAGAGGTATCTTGCAATAAGCGCTACTTTCAACAAATGGGAGCTTAATCTCAAATTAGAAAATGGGTATATGTGGTTTACAAAGGCAAACCACAATCAAAGAGCTTTCGGAGATACATCTCCGCGATCAATATCGGTAACCAACTAATTGGAATTTCCAATAGAATGTAATACCTGGGAATCATCGCGAAGGACAAATTCGACTTCTGCCTTCACGTGGATTATGTGCTGTAAAAACCACAGAGATGAATTACGCCTAGCAGCGTCTATTAACCGAATGTAAAACTGCTTATCTTGAAACAAATCATCCGAGCCATTGCAGCTTATTCCGTTGTCGCTTGAACAAAGCGAAATAATAAGGATGTGATAAAGGAGGATTTGGTTTGGAAACATGGCCATTAACTGGTGACAATGGCATTTACAGATAACCGCCCATCATGAACATCTATAACTCCATAGAATTCAGCCAGATCAACATATTTTTAATGAGAAATGCGGTCAACTTCCTATAAAGTAGTCAAGCCGTTGAAAATAGGATACTGGAACAATTCCTGGAATACCAAGAAGAACTCCCCAGCACAAACCGAAGGAAGCACCTGCTACCCGTAGCTCTGCTAAAACTAAACGAAGAAGGAATACTTTACGATGATAATAGTTTACTATACTACCATCATATGTAACATCTATGTGACCACTGTAATACAGATCAGAATCTCTAATAGAGTCGGTAATTGAAAGCAAAACTGAAGTTTTATTATGGTTTCTTCGAAAAGCAAACCGAAAGGTAATAAAAAATGAGTTTCGATGATATAGAATCTGTTCCTTCATAACATTTTCAAGGATTTTGGATACCGAAGGTAAAATATAAATCGGTCTATAATTTCTAATACCGTCACGACAATTTTTGGGTATAGGAATGAGTTTTCCAAGTTTTCAGGCATCAGAAAAACTGGAGACTTTAAGAACTTTGTTAAAAATATGTAGCAAACCGGTAAAATAGTATCAGTCGGTTTAGCCGACGGATGTATACCCCCAGCCTTGAGTTATGATTATTCAAATTGTTGACTCTTTATGGGGGAGACACCTAAGCAGTTGGCCAATATTGACCAATTCGTATCTGACCTAATTCTGATATAAATATTACAACGTGCCAGATTTGTACTATATCGACTACTTCCTATACTTTATATGAGATATGTGCAAATGAATACAGATAAAAATATTGGTATGTGCAAAATTTGAAGGAAATCGAACATTTATATCCAATTTTATGCGAAATCATTTAGATATAGCAAATTGTTAAGAATCGCCTTGTATAACTTATTTCGCAAGTTATAACAGATATAAGTCATGGAAATTGTGACCCTTTGTAGGTTAGGTACCAGAAGGGGTTGGGGAGGTACCAGAAGAAATGATCCGATCTCTACCATATTTATAACAGATCTTGTGTTGATGGAAATATTGAGATGTACCAAGTCTGGACGGAATCGATTGTTAATTTCGCGTTTTATGACATTCAAGGATACTCAAAATTTTTGGGGGGAGGAGCGGATCGATATATCCCACATTCACACCAGACCCTGGGTTAATAAACATATTGTGATGAGTGTAATTTGAAGAGAATCGGATTTTATGATCGTTTTGGTTATTCAAATCTTTGACCCTTTGTGGGAAAGGTACCAGAAGGAGTGGTCCGATCTCTACCATCTTTATAACATATCTTGTGTTTATGGGAATATTGAGATGTGCCAAGCCTGAATGGAATCGGATGTTAATTTCGTGTTTTATTTTCTTCATGAATATTCAACATTTTGACCACTTGTGGGGGAGGTACAAAAAAGAATGGACCGATACATTCTATCTTCACACCAGAGCTTGGGTTAATAAAAATAATATTGTGATGTGTGTCATTTGAAGACAATCGGACACTTACTTCACATTTTATAAAAGTTATAATTAATCAAGCAAAATCGGATTATCGTGTCTCTTTCTGTGCAGTAAATTATTTTCTTTGGAAATGTTGACATTTTGTGAGGGAGGTACCAGAAGGAGTGGATAGATATTGCCCATATCCGAACTTGATCTAAGTTTGACATTAATATTACGATGTATCAAGTTAGGATCAAATCGGATACTCTCTTCGAGAGTTATCGTGCGCATCAGCCAGCCAGACAGACAGACGGACATAGCTAGAATGTCCTGAAACAGATTTGGTCCAACCAGACCTAGAATCTAAAACGTTATTTCGATGAGGCATTTTTTGCCCGTATCAAATGAATATACCCTCTCTCTAGCCATATGGCTGAGGTTATAAAAAAATTTCAATTACTAGACGTCCAATACTTACCGTTTGTAGAGAATCCATTGCCGATATGCCCAGGGCATAGTTAAGAAGTAATTTCAAACCACGTATCACAGTTAGATTAGGAAACATATCACGAATTGAGGTTAGATTCTTCACTTCATACATGATCAGGAAATGGGTGATTTCACGCAATTTGGGAAAACGATATTTTGAATAATCGCACGAGTTATTGGCCGGCAGTAGGACAATAATTAAATAGCCCGTTATGACAGTACAATTTTCCAAATGGGCAAAATTTTCACATTGATTGCGTATATCCATGCTGGGGCATTCATATGTTGCTGGAACTGATGCTGCTGTGGAGTTTATTTCCGCTGGCAATGTATCCGGAGAAAGAGTAGAAGACGTTGCCATGCCACAACATGTTGCCAGCAAAAATATGACTAATGTTCGACTAAAGAAAGCTCCAGCCATGGGCAACATGTTGCTGATTTTGTAATAATTTATTGTTTGTCCCATAACAGCTGTCTGGTCAACAGCTGTTAAGTGTGGAAGACTTTAGCTCGCAAACGGAGGGGGGAGTACAGAGACCAATGTATGTTACTGGGAACTGGAGCAACAAGTTTTTTTCCTTCTGCAAGTTTCTTATTTTTTTATTTGCACAAAAGTTTGTGTGGTTTGTCGATACCGGTCCACCACATTAAGGCAAGGCTGGGCGATCGGCCGACCGGCCGGCAAACACGCGGACAGGCAGCACGTGAGCTATCAATTATTTTTGGCGGTCGTTGTTGTGGAATTCGTTCGTCGTTGTACGTTTTGTTTGTTTATTTCTTGTTTATGACTTGAATGTAATTCCTTTGACTTTAATGGGCTTCCTGCTGGTTGGATGGCTAACTTGCTGGCTGGTCGGCCAGCTTAGCTTCAATGTTGTTGTGCTCGTTCAGTTGTTTGTTGTTGCTGTTGTTTTGGATCAAAATATTACGCTACGCATGTGCCTTTATTATGTTCTCTTTGCTGAGGTCCCTTTAGTTGAATCTCTGTAGAAGAAACCCCTTTCGGAGCCGCAACTGTTGCTGACTCTATTCGTTCGTTGCTGCCTCTGTTGGTCCAAAACGACCAGCATACATTGTTACAAAATGGGAATTCCTTTTGTTGTTTTTCTTTCTTTCTTCTGGGCTGTGACAACAATGATTTTTATCTGCTGGAGTATTTTGTTGTTTATGACTTTTTACCACGTAGGTATGAATGGGATTCACGCTTTGCTCGCTCGCCCGCTCGCTCACTGCACTTCGTATGTGTCGCACTTTGTTTCACTTTTGTTTATGTAATTGTTTTTGTTGTTGCTCTTTGAGATTTTCTTTTGGTTTTGTTGTAGTTTGTTCCTTGTTAGCTGCTTTTATGATCTTCATAAACATTGACGGTTTCGTGCCGTTCGGTTATTTAACACGAGATTGTTTTGAAATTGATAATGTTACCATTTTTTTTGTACTGAGATTTTGTGTCTGTTATGGATTAAGAAGATTCCCACACTACTGTTCCGCGAAAGAGGTGTAAAGATTTTAATTGGTAATGACGATTTTATAAATTTTCTTCTTAGACTTAATTAAACATAATGGGAGGAAATAATTATTCAGGAAGTGATTAGGGGAAATATATAGGATACTTTTTTAAGAAACCAATTTCCAAGAAAGTCCTTAATTAAATGTCACAAGAGTGAAAGAGAGGTAGAAAGAACAAGTAACAAAGTTGTAAGTTCGGTCAGGCCGAACTCCACCATTTGGAACGAATTTGGCAATTTTCAAAAGAATACAATCCGATAAAAATTCTGTTAAAATCTTAAAAATACCGAATGTAGCCTTTATATTAGGGTCAATACGACACTCTGCAATCGCCCGGATCTCCGCTTAAAGGATCGTACTAGATCGGGCAAGCGGAAATAGATTACAGTATGTGGTTGTTTAATAAAAAAAAGTTCCAATCCCGCTCACCCCATAGCACTGAGCTGTTTAAAAGTGTTAAAATAAGATTTTTTCACAATCAACGTTTCAGCCAGTTAAAAGCTGGCAACTAAGCAGATATTTTTTACTAGGACTTGTCATTCCGCTTGTAATTCCTCAAAATACTCATGTCAAACTCAAGAGAGTATATATATTCTTTATAAGAGTAAAATTCTAAGTCGATTAAGCGATCTAAGTTGAGCTTGAGGTAGAAGGCTAAAACTTCGCACACATGTGATTTTTGCCAATAGGAAGCTAAGTTCGTAAATAGGCCATGTCGGTCCGCGTTTTCATATAGCCCCCATATAACGGTACCTCCCAATATTCGGTATTTTGGTGATTTAAGTGACATTATTTACCGGAATTGTTTCAAATTTGGCATTTAAAGCTCCTAATGGGTACTATAACCTATAACAATATACGAAATATGCAAGTCCACATCATCGTATAGACCCCATATATCGGCACCTCACATTGATCGGTATTTTGATGATTTTTGCGATATTATCCATTCGTAATGGGTACAACAGCCTGTGACAGAAAAACGTATAGTCCCCATATAACTCTTCCTTCCTATATTCGGTACTTTGATGATGTTAGGTCATTATTCACCGTATTTGAAGTTCGTAATCGGTACTATAGCCAATGACAAAAAAAAAACTTATGCAGGTCCTCGTCTTCGTATTTTCCGCATATAACGGTTTTCATTTAGTCAGTATTTTTCGAAGAATTTTTTTAAAAAGTTCCTTCCAAATGGTGGAACGTATTAAAAACTTGGCTCGGATCGAACTTGGGTTCTTTTTTATTTCTGCTTTTTACTTATTTATTTTAGTTTTACTAGGTTTTCGTGTACGGGAACAGTGTTCAAGTAGAAAATTGCAAAGCTAGAAAAATCTAGTACGATATTACATGTTCTGGAACACTACTTTATGTACAACATTGAAATTCTACACGAAATTCACATTAAGGTGAGAATACATAAAAGGCTTTTTTGACTGGCATAAGTCATCGGCTAGCTTCTTTGCGAAAGAAATTATTGACGAAATTTAACTATGTCAACACTAATCTCATTTCTCCTTTTACGAAGAAACCGGCGGAGGACTTGGACTTAATGTAATGATTTTAAAAGTTTTGAATCGAAAGAGTAGTCCAAATTCGGTACACCGTAATATTGTTTATCAAACATAGATTGACTTCGAATATTGACAACAATATCGAAGTCTTCTTTCACATCCCACATAAAATTTGAAAAAAATTATCCGATAATGCAAAGGGATTATTTAATTATTGATATGTTCTAGAACTGCAAAAATTTTTACAACGATAACCGATTTTCATGACATCGAAAAAAACCGAAGAAAGGGACGTAGGGCGAGCAAGTATAAAAAAATTGCCGGAATTGAACTAGGACAAAGCCAGCCGATTACTGATGCCAGTCAAAAAAGCATTTCATGTATTGTCACCTTTAGTCAGGTAAAAAAAGGTTCGATATACCAATGGAATCCTTGATTTAAAAATCACAACGTTCGGATTACATCTGAAATAGGTATAACCACAGAAAAGCACCATACTATATATATTTGTTTTAGCTGTCGTGTTCGCACTTATCGCCGTTTTAATTTTTAACATGATATTGTTTATTATATTTTCAAAGACACATACATTGTTATTAATTTTATTTAAGTGGCACATTTCTATTTTATTTTTTATCATCATTATTAACATGTTTTCTTATAAATTCAGAATTTTTGGCAACAACAATTTCTTTATTAACACTAATTATTCTGGCATATAAAATTTTAATTTATTCGATGGTATTTTTTCACACACTCAAATATTTCTTAATTAATTTATTTTTGTTTTTTTTTTTTCATATAACGGTTACTACATTTTTCCTTATACTTTCAAAAAAACACATCTCTAAAAATTAACAACGAAAATTGACATTTCTATTCCAATTTTGTTGCTCGTCTGAACCGACCGAATGATTGACCAAAAGTTGTACGACGATTGACTACCGACGACGACCACGTCCGTTGGCAGACTGTCGGCCAAAGTTTTGTTGGTGAATGAGTGAAGACAGACCACAAAACTCGGCGAACAAAGCTAAAACAAATTCTGCCGGTCATTCATATAAATTTACGAAATGCGAGTAGAAAGAATTGCATGGTGGGTACGACGTACGTACAATTGTACGAAAGAACCCAAATGTGTTGGGCATGGAGAACAAAACTAACTACGAAGGCGATACAAATACAGAAAAGAACATTACCAAAATAACCAACACCCATGCAAGTAGATCACCAGCATCATCATCATCATCGTGTTCGGGGGAACAGTGGGGTAATAAAGTGCGAATGATTTGAATGGTTCCGCGTCTTTGATGATATTTATTACATCCAACCATTATAAACTCTGACCGTGCCTACTCGAAAAAGCTTGGCCAGTCCTTTAAAGCTAGGGCTAGCTTTAAAGGTAACGGTGCATAGCAATGTTTGCCCATTTTAAATATAGAATATTTTTAGATAAAGACTTGTTTGCACATAATACCCCCAGTGGATTTCACATGCAAATTACATTGCGTATACAGGGTGAGATAAAAAACTGCAACAAAGTCAAACGCCATAATTTTTACATTTTCTTTTTCAAATTTTATTGAATGAAAGCGAAAACTTTCGTTTAGATATAGATTTGTTCGAATTGGTCATCTTTGCCACGAATTATGGCCTTCAAATGGCCAATCAAACCATCACACTCTGCCCGAATGTTGATCTGCGGTATTTTGGCCCATTCCCGGCGAAGCGCTTGCTTGAGGTGATCGACAATTTGGAATTTTTTAGGGCCAACCTTGCTTTCCCAAATACTCCAGACACAATGGTCCAACGGATTGGTATCTGGAGATTTTGGTGGCCATTGTGCGTTAGAAATGAAGCGAGGAACCTTATTTTGTAACCATTCCTGGGTGGCGCGTGCTGAGTGCGAGGGTGCTGAGTCCTGTTGGAATGTCCAATGTCTGCGGCCTCCAGAACATTTTCGTGATAATATTCGACATTTATTCTGATGCCACTGTTGATTAATACGAGCGGAGAGCGACCATCGGCTGTTATGGCGGCCCACACCATCACCATGGCCGGCGCTTGAGTTCTTCTGGTGGCCAATCGAAGTTGCATATTTTTAGCTGACCTCTTTGACAAGTAAACACTACCATTTTCCTTGTTTACAAACTGCTGGACAATGAATGTTTTCTCATCGGAGAAAACCAAATTCGGCAGTTCACCACTTTCGGCCAAGCGAAGCAACTCCTTAGCTCTTTTGAGTCTATTTTCTTTCTGTTGCGGTGTAAGTTCTTGCACTTTTTGCAATTTCAATGGTTTTACCCCGAGCTCATTTTTCAATATTTGCCGAATGGAATATTGCGACATGTTCAGCTCACAAGTCATTTTTCGGCCACTGCGACGCGGGTTTCGATCAAGTCGCTCCTTTATTTTTCGAACCACTTTCGGCCAAGCGAAGCTACTCTTTAGACCTTTTGATTCTACTTTCTTTCTGTTGCGGTGTAAGCCCTTGCACTTTTTGGCATTTCAATGGCTTTTCCCCGAGCTTATTTTTTTAATTTTTGCCGAATGGAATATTACGATATGTTTAGCGCACGAGCGATTTTTTGACCACTGCGACGCGGGTTTCAATCAAGTCGCTTCTTTACTTTTCGAACTATTTCTGCTGATGTTGCTGTTTTCTTCCGCCCACTTCCTTGAGGTCGAGCTACGCTACCAGTATCACGGTAACGAGCGATGGTATGAGACACAAAAGATTTATTCACATTTAAATGCTGGAGTGCTCTAACGATAGCCACGTTTGGTGGTTTTCCAGCCAAATATAAATAAATCACACTATCACGCTTGAATTCCATCATCACGAATAACTTTTTTTTCTGGAATATTCTCACCAAAATGCTTTTGTACGGTTGTAAACAATATAATGAGCTGTCACTGGCATCATTTTAACAGCTGTCGGACGAGTGGCTTAGAAATGACAGCAGTCTGAAGTTGGATACAGTTTTTTCATCTCATCCTGTAATAACAGCATACACCCCACTGTGCCTTTAAAGAAACTGCGAGCCAAAGTGACGCATACATTTGCAAAAGAAAAAGACTACAAATGACGATGTTATTAAAGGCGATCTGCGTCACTCGGACGTAAATACAAATATAGCTTACGAACATGCTTGTAACCCGGTCAATTTGTAACAGAAAGGTTTGCAGCTCAAAATGGGTGAGCGTGTGTGTGTGCGCGCGCTCGTATCTGCACCCGACTCAAAAAGACTAGCGCGCCCAACAATAAGAAAAAGGTGAATGAAAACCGGGTGAAAATCAAAAGGGAATGAGAATTGATTCAGAATTGACAAATTGATTGCAATTGATAGAAATCGATGAATGAATGGAGCGCACAGTGCCGATCTTTATAAGCGCGCCATAAATGGGAGGCATTTGGCAATTATATTTGCGAAAGCAAATAATTCATTGATTTTATTTGAGGTACGAACAGCTTAATATTCGTGGTGGATACTTGGCGTCGCGTGAACGGCAATGTGTTTTTCAATTACATTGTTGCAGTGGGGCGTTAACGGTGGGAGGTGCGTTTTGATATCGCGGCAATGCTTTAGTTTCATGAAGTTTCAAAGGTGTTTTAGATGACAAATGGCCACCACATTGAAGTGTGACAGGTTTTTAAATACAACGACAGACAATGAGTATTCTGAAATAGCAAAAACTGAGTTTTTAGGGGTAGCTCAAAGAAGTTGTGGGAAACACTCTTAACAATTTTCTCTGCTAGGGATGGCATTACATTCGAGAGGATATTAGAAATGAATATGATATTAATTTACTTGAATGTTTAACCTTACAATACGTATTGACGGCTAAATCCTCTCGATTTTAAAAATCAATTCCACAGTGTATACGTCCGTAAATCGTACTCATAAATCCAGATAGAGGGGATTTCGTATATCTCAACGTACTTTTAGGTGGGTAATAGCGTCTTTTGATACAAAATTTTATCCGGATGTTTAACCCGTATTTATACAACTAGATTTACTATACAAAAATAGATCTTGCCTGGACCGGATAGACCATTTTTAGCTTGATACACCATTTTTAGCTATTTCTATACCCTCCACCATTGTATGGAGGGTAAATTAACTTTGTCATTACGTTTGTAAAACCTCGAAATATACATTTTAGACCCCACAAAGTACATATTCTTGATCAGCATAAATTTCTATGTCGATTTAGCGATGTCCGTCCGTCTGTGGAAATCACTCTAGCTTCAGAACGAAATAAAGTAGGTTAATTTTTACTCAAATGTATATAATGTCTGAAGGACTTTTGCTATTGAAAATAAGTCATGTAGGTCCACGCCTTCATATAGCCCCCATGCAATGGTACCACCCGATATTCGGTATTTTCATGATTTTAGGGACATTATTCACAGGAATTATTTCAAATTTGGTATTTGGAGTTCGTAATGGATACTACAGAAAATTGTATGACAGAAATTTGACAGAAAATTGTCCGTGCAGGTCTACGTCTTCGTATAGCCCTCATATAACGGTACCTCCCTATATTCGGTATTTCATGGATACTATGGCCTAAGACAGAAAATTGTCTGTGCAGATCCGCGTCTTCGTATAGCCCCCATATAACGTCACTTCCCGATATTCGGTATTTGGTTGATTTTAACGACATTATTCTCCGGAATTGTTTCAAATTTTGTATTGTCTGTGCAGGTTTACGTTTTAGTATAGCCCCGACATTATTCACCGAATTTTTTTCAAGTTTCGCACGTCGTCGTTTAGACTCTGATATGACGGCTACATGATGTATTTTTAAGATGTTAACAGAATTTGTAACGGATTTTATTTTTTGGAAAATTGCCAAATTCGTTCCAAATAGTGGGGTTGGAGGAGTTCAGCCCGCCCGAACTTTATGTATTTTACATGTTGGCATTTTTCTAGTGTATGTATGCGTAAACAAATATCAGCTGAGCGGTATTTATATCCTCCTAAGGGTGTATCAATATTAGCCCACTGGACTTTATAAACCCAGTGGGTTAATCTTGAATAGTATCGTTCGTGGTAGAATTACAAGGTAACCCTTTCAGGCCAGCTGGTATCAATTTGATATGTCAAAAAATTGTTGAATTGTGTTGAATTCGCCTTCATTTACACATAAGAAAATTGTTGCATGATTTCAAACTTTAACAATGCTATTGATAGAAAATAGAGATTTTACGTTTTTATAGAGTATGAGGGAAAAAGTGTATATTCAACATATGGTGGGCAAAGGTAATATGGAGATCTAAAATTCGTGGATATTTGAAATAAGTGAAGCAGGGAATCAATTTCATATAGGAGATAAACCGATACATGGAATTTCATCATCTTATTTGTACGGATTTTCAACTATGTTATACACTATAGGGCTTCAACAGTGAAAGGTGAATGATTCCAAAGCATATTGGATTGGTTTGGGGAACAAAAAATTGGCAATTTTTGGTTTGGTGATTAAATATTGAGATTATTTTTTTATTTCAAATTGTTCGAATGTATTAAAGTTATCTATACATAAAAGACTTCCTGTCTGCTATACATTTCATAGCTAAG